TTTTTCATTTGTTTTGTCATTTTGTTCTTGTATTGTCTTCCAGAATTCTTCTAAGGTTTTTTCTGTGTTTTCTTTGGTCTGTCTCTCAGTCCTTTGAAGATACCTAAATATGATTCTTTTGAATTCCATATCAGAGAGTTCCAATGCTGCCTCTTCATCAGGGATGTGTTCTGGGTCTATATCCTGATCCCTCGTTTCTACCACTTTATCTTGCCTTTTTGTGTGGACTGTGATGGTCTGTTGTCTCCAAGACATTGTGGTGGTGTTGTATTTAGATCTCTGTTAACTGTTTGTGAAGAGTAGCCAAGAGTGATTCAGGCTCTTCTTGGTGGTTGTTTATCATCGGCCCATTGGTGTAGAAGGAAGTGGTGGCTGTCACCCAGTAAATGCAGTTGCAGGAGGTATGGGTGTAGTTCTGTCGTATGGGGACGGACTGTTACTATCTTCCACATTCCAGTCATCCAGGTCTGGAATATCCTTGGGGTTACTGGCAAGTGGAGCCTGTTCTTAAACCCCTGGAATTTGGGAGAACACTGTCGCTTTAAATATCCAAAATGGTCAAGCCAGTTGTGAATATCCAAAATGGCTGCGCCCTCCAGACAGACAGAAGTCCACAGCTCAGCCCATTGTCCTCTTCGCTGCCTTTCCTTTTATTGCCCAGCCACCAGAGCAGTCTTCCATGCAGTTCCTGGCTAGGAAGGCTGATTTTTAGGTTAATTCTTAGTTCCTGCCACCACTAGGCTATATCCAAGCTATTTGTGCCGTCAGGATCGCTGCCAGACCACAGCTTGGTATGTCTCTTTTGGTATTTTCATGGAAATTCTTCTGCTAGTTGGAGTTTAGTCCACTTCTATATCCTTCCCTTCAAGGTTCAGGGGTCCAGGATTATCTTCTGTATCTGTGTTAATTGGTTCCCCTTTCTTTGTTGAAGAGGGTCTGTGCAGTCTTTCTGTCTATTCCACCATCTCACTGGCTATTACCAAGGCTGTAAATCTTTACTGAAGTAGATTTCCTTGTCTTCCTCCCACAGAGCAGCTAGTGGATTTGAACTGCTGACCTTCTGGTTAGTAGCCAAATGCCTTACCCACTATGCCACTAAAGTTCCTACTACTTTTAAGAAGTGTATAGAGTATACAGGTGTTTTCTATTCTGGAATTTCCCTTTTCTTTTTTGATCTCTCAGAAATTAATAGCTAGAGGTATTCATATCTGCCAGATTGTGATATATTTCATAATGTATACATCATGCGCTGGAAATTGTATGTAACAAATTAAAAAATAATCCCTGGCTTTCTGGTCTAACTCTTCATTTTTCTTTTAATGTAAAATTTGTTCAGGTCATATGTGGCCTCCTTAATTACTTTTCTTTCTTTGTTATTTCTGTGATGTCCCTCAGTGATGCTAGATCTTTATTTGTAGCTGTTTTGGTAAATTGGAATTCCTGTTTAGGGGCAGGTATTCTAGAAATATCATCACAATTAAGTAGAAGGATTTTAGACTCTTATGAAGTTAATTAAAAAGTCACTTAGAAGTAAGAATAGAGTCAATATTAAATTCCCACTTTCAGTTTGGTATATATGTAAAATGTTAGTTGTGAGACTCTTAAACTTTAAAAGGCTTAGGGGTTAGGGGTGGAGGAGGAAAAATCAAGAAACCACAAGATTGGAAAACAGATTTTTATTCTTGTGATTTGTTACTAGTCATCACTGTTTCTTCTCTTCTCTACAGAGTAGTGGGATAGAAATTGATGTGATGTATTTTAATTCTTGAAGCATTAAAAGTTGACATTGGGTGCAAACAAAGCTATTCTCTGCAGTATCACTTTTAACAGCAGAGAGAGAACATCATGTAGGCTAGAGAACAAGGTGGAAAAATGAGTATGGGAGCTCTGGTGGCGTAGTGCGTAAGGCACTTGACTGTTAACGAGAAGGCTGGAGGTTCAAACCCACCAGCCACTCATCAGAAGGAAGATTGGGCAATCCACCTCTGTAGAGATAATGCCTCAGAAACCCAAGGAGAGGTTGCTATGAGTCGAATTGACAGCAGTGAGTTTGGTTGGTTTGATTAGAATGATATTACCGGGTAATTCCAAGGATATCTATTCCATTCTGGTACTCCACCCCCTGTTTCGATGATGGATGCAATGAATATGTGTACTTCTGTGTAGCAGTTCATTCAGGGTGTATCAGTAGCTTTAAATCAGTCTATTGTGACATTGAAAAGTAATAATTAAAAAAAAATTTTCCTGTGATAGGCTCTTTTTTTTAGCCATAGTTCATATGTATATATATATATCATAACATTCACCCTTTTAAAGTATGCATTTTATTGACTTTTAATATTAACAAAGTTATTCAACTATCACCACTATCTAATTGCAGAACATTTTTATCACCTCCAAAAAGAAACCACACATTCTTCTCGCCTTTTAAGTTGAGCTCTTAGGGCCAAATACTTGGCACTGTAGTTTGTATCAGAAGTTAAATAAGATTTTTTTGTGTGTGTTCAACAATGTTTTGTAATGATGATAAAATATATTGAATGTTACACACTGTTGCTTTTTGTTGCCTTCAACATAAAGTGAGATTTTTAGTTCCAGGGAACAATTGAGGTACTAAAATGTAGTAATTTCGAGTTTATCTACTTTCCAGGGAATGCTGTCAACACTCGGATATTGAAGTACCTGATTCCAGCAACTCTAATATCAGGAGATACTGTGGTTAAGGCTGTCTCTTGGCTTTGTGTTGGCAAGTGTTCTGGTAGCATCAAGGTAATCTTTTTAAGCGTTTTGATGATAAGTCCTTCAGAACCACTTTAGGGCTAGCAAGGAAGAGCCACTTATGGAACAATGGCAGTGGCCTTTTGTGCAAAGCCTGTAGTTTTGGAACATTATCACCTGATGCAAGAACTCTGTTCGAATAGAAATTCTTACTGAGATTTAAACTCTGTTATCCTGCCTTGTGCTACAAGCTTCTAAAACTTCATTGATTTAAATAGACTTGAGGGAAAAATCAAACTCTTCTGTGCCAGTTACATAAATATAAACATTTAAATATAGACTTAAATATTTAAACATTTTTGTCTCTCAATAGGTACTTTTCTTTCGTTGGCTGGTTGCAATGTTTGACTTCATTAATGAAAAAGACCAAGTTAACTCCCTCTATGGCTTCTTTTTTGCTTCATTGCAAGATGATGGAGTGGTAAGTGAAAATTGGACTGCATCATATATAGATCAAATAGTACGTACGTATTGTACCATATGTGCAACATGGGCTCAGCATCTTCTGACCTCCTCTAACTTCACAAGAGGGAGACAGAATCACCATTAACAACCTGAGGCTTATTCCTATGAGGCCAGGCATGCCACCTCCAGCCTTTGTATCAATTCTGACACCAATCATCCCTTCCATAGCACTCACTAGTTCTCTACTGGGTTTGGTAATTCATTGCAGTGGCCACACAGAATTTACAGACAATACTCAGGATTATAGGGTTTATTAGGGAAGTAACACATTATAATTCAGGTTCAGGAATGCGCTCAGGATACAGTTCTTCAACCAGGACAATCTCCCCTCTTCTATATCCTTAAGCACACCTCTCTGGCCCTTGACCTCTTGGCCTGACTTCTGTCTGGCTCATGCAAGTGTTACAAAGCTCTTTTAGCTCTGCCCATAGGTGCACCTAGGTA